ATGTTCTACATTTCCACCTTAAGAAAGCAGAAAAGGCAAATTAAACCCAAAGTGAAAGGAAACAATAAAGAATAGAAATTATTAAAAAAAGAAAAACGTATAAATTGAGAGAAAAAAAAAATCAGTGAACCCCATGTCAAGAAAAATAGGAATTCTACAGAAACACAACTTCTGTTTGGGATCCAGCGTTGAGATTTTGAGTCACACAGAACTTTCTCCACCTTTTAAGAATGATTTCAAAACTACTACATGACAAGTACGAGGCAGATTACTTTCCTACCGACTTCAAATTAGACCTATCTTTTAAAAGATTAGAAGGCCCTTTAACCACTTAACACAACCCCAGTCATCCGATAAAACTAGGAAATTCAAGTCTAAGGAATCAAGCAAAGGGCCAGTCACGAGTGTGCGGCTCACCGAGCGAGGTGGGACACCTAGGGCTCCGCATCTCCAGTTCACATCAACACAAAGCAAGCCCGAGAGAGAAGCCTTTCCAATGTACCAGCTAAAGACAGATTATGATAAATTACATCTGCACTTCCTGCTAAATTACATTTTTTTTTAAGGTTCTTAAGGAAATGGATAATAAAGAAAATCTCCCTTTACTTGCCAGCCCTAAAGATGAAGAAAATGGGTTTTAGGGTAAATTAAATTCATCTTCTTTTAGTCCCCTTCTGCAAAAAAAAAAAAAAAAGTACGGACATTACGCGTGTGGTGGCACCGTGTCACGTTATTGATGATGTTCAAACTGAAACATCTGTAATAGCGTTTTCTAGGGAAACTAGTTTGCATGCCCATACTGAAATGCACAGAAGTCACACTACTGTGCAAATACACCTCCAGCAAGACATGTTTTACAAGTCTAGCTATTTCAAATAATCCGCCCTATTCAAATATTTCTAACAGACTATCCATGAGTAAAAACAATATACAGCTCTATATCAAAGTAACTAAGATAAAAAAAAGAAAAGTTTCTTGGCTACGGAAAGAATAAGGAACAAAGTGGTTCATTTGGGAATTAGCAATAGGATCTTACAATTCCAACTCAAAAGTTTCAGTCTCATCCAAGTTATATTTTCAAATTCCTTCTATTTCATAACTGGTTTTTTTTATTTGACAGAGAGAGACAGTGAGAGAGGGAACACAAGCAGGGGGAGTGGGAGAGGGAGAAGCAGGCTCCCCGCGGAGCAGGGAGCCCGATGCGGGGCTCGATCCCAGGACCCTGGGACCACAACCTGAGCCGACAGTAGATGCCTAACGACTGAGCCACCCAGGGGCCCCTATTTCATAACTGTTAAGTGAGTGAAAGGGAAAGTAGTAAGAAAGGGATCTAATCCAGGTCACGGATCCGTGCCAAAGTTCTCCAAGAACTGATTTTTATTAAGGTCACTGTCAGTTAAAGCTGATCTCAGAATCAACACACTGTACTCTAAAATGTCCTGCAGCAGAAGAAAAAAATTTGCCAGAAGATACCCACAAAATGTACACTCACCTCAAAACGTAACACAAAAATAATACATTCAGGGCCCAGTAAGGAGATCTGAAAGAGTTTACGTTTTAAAAAGAAGTCTAAGCACTAATGAAATGACTTCCTACGATATCCTAAAATACGGATTCTTTTTTTTTTTTTTTAAAGATTTTATTTATTTGAGAGAGAAAGAATCAGAGATAGCATGAGAGGGAAGAGGGTCAGAGGGAGAAGCAGGCTCCCCGCCAAGCCGGGAGCCCGATGCGGGACTCGATCCCGGGACTCCGGGTTCATGACCTGAGCCGAAGGCAGTCGCTTAACCAACTGACCCACCCAGGCGCCCAATACGGATTCTTCTTATGGAAGACATCAAGGCATGGGCTGGACCACCCGGTAGCTCCTCACGACAGGCCTGGCCGACTGGACAGGGAAGTGAGGTCACTGGGCTGGAAGCTTCCCTACCCAGCAAGCTTACCCCCCTAGGCCCTCTCCTGAGTGATTAACTTGCATATTTGGGAAACTAAACAATAAAACTAAAACAACGTTAAGTGTATACATATTCATGCACACATGCACACAGCGGTTTGGAAGTTACTGCTGAAGCCAACAGCTGGGCCTCACAAAGACAAAGCACGACCGCACCACTCCAGGGGCGAGGTAAGGCTGGCTTCACCAGCACCTCGCTCTGACCTGTCCCACGAGGCTGTGTGCCGCCCAGGCACTTGGGTCTGCTTACTGTTGCATTACCTGGAGTCAAGTCACATCTGGAAAACCCTAAGTTCCCCACTCTCCCTCCAAATGCCAAAAAAAGCCCATCAGAATCCAAAGTAACAGACTCGGAACGGATGTGACAGCAGCTTCAGCTTTGCGAAAGTGGGGGTCCGAAAAATGCATGAGGCCATCAGGACCAGAGAAAACCCAAACCATGGGGCATCGTCAGGAAAGGCAAATTGGCCTTTTTTGTTGCCGTATCCCGGCCCCAGAAGGGTGCCTCAAATGTACAAGATGCCTCCTATTTCCTGAGGGAGCAACCCAGGACCCCCGCAATGCCTGCTCCTGGGGACTGAGCCACAGCCAGGACCCAGATGGAGGCTGACACTTCTACAGCGCCAATGGACCACCGTGGAATTCTGCTGATCTCACGAAGAAAGATCTCTTACACGTTAACCCCTCTCCAGAAACTTACTGCTCATTAATGCACCAGGCTGATAAGAACACAGAGGATGTTTTTAACCATCAACTGTTTTCTATTTTAGGAGAGAACACCTTTTGTTTCATGTGAGTTTTAGTGACTACTTTGGGAGAAACCATCCAGGGATCAAGAAGACATGATCTCATGATTGCCACCTCCTTGTCACCTGTCCCCGCAGTTCTCAGTGGCCCCCTCCTGGTGGTGGTGGCATCCTCACGGTCTAGGCAGAGCTGTGTGACAGCATCCTCCTCTCTCCCAGAAAACGGGGTGCCAAGAAGAGCAGCGAGTCACTGAAGCCTGCACACATCCGGCCAAACACACCCAGCAGGTGCCACCGCCCTTTCCTATCTCTCACTGGGCTGTGTTCTCGTAGAAAAGCCACCTAAACTCTCAAATTACACACTAAAATCAACTTCACCCCCCAGAACTCCAGAATCTAGAAGAGAAAGAATGGTGTACATGCAGGCTTCCTCTTTCCACCCCCTGTGCCTCAGTTAAAGAGAAGATAAAGAACATGACCTCTGACATCACACTGAACAAGTCTGTAAGAAGGAAGGTTTTAGGTCGCAGAATTCAATGTCGTAGAATTTGGACTGTAATGACCTTCAGGCCAAAGACTTTACAACCAATTTTCTGTTTCCTGTGGCTCTGATTCATTGTGAAATTCACAGAAAACAGCGAACCAACCTTGACTACAAAGATATTATTAAGTCCCAGACTAGGAAGGTCCTCCTAAGGCACGCATATGAATCAGAGCCCGCTGAGCACTCTGGCAAAAAAACTGCATTTAAAAATCACAAAGACTTTTATACTTATTCTTCCAGGACACAGTTAATAACTATGATTAGGGTGCCTGGGTGGCTCAGTTGGTTAAGCGACTGCCTTCGGCTCAGGTCATGATCCTGGAGTCCCAGGATTGAGTCCCACATCGGGCTCCCTGCTCAGCAGGTAGTCTGCTTCTCCCTCTGACCCTCCCCCCTCATGTGCTCTCTCTCTCTCTCTCAAATAAATAAATAAAATCTTTAAAAAAAAAAAATAATATGATTAAAATGGATAAGAAAACAAACTCAAAAGAAGCCCCTGAGCCCACATCACGTGACATGGGCCCAGAGTGGGACTGCTCCATCAGAACGTGAGCATTCTTGGGGTCCAGGAATCCAAGGAGTTATCTGGGAAGGCTGGGGACATGGAGAGATCATGGCTGGGACAGGATAGGACTTGTCCTAAGCTTGGAGGACTGGGGCAGATCATGCATTCTCAAGAACTGGGGCAGTCTCTGGTGAACAGATCAAACTTCAAGATCCCATTATCTAGGACACCTGGGTGGCTCAGTGGGTTAATAAGCATGTGCCTTCAGCTCAGGTCATGATCCCAGGGTCCTGGGATCGAGTCTCGCATCAGGCTCTCTGCTCAGGGAGCCTGTGCTCTCTCTCTGCCAGGTAAATAAATAAAATCTTTAAAAGAAAAAAAAAGATCCATTACTTATTAAAATCCAAGCTTACTAAGATCGTCCTGCTAAACCTGCAAGTACATTCTTCTTTTCCAAAAGACAAACCAGTCCAAATGCCTGCCAGTCTCTATGTGCAGTTCAGGCAGGCAGGTCCTCCTCTCAGACCAGTTTCAGATCAGTAGGCTACCCGTGAGCAGAGAACCCGAGAAAGGATCCCACGTACTGTGGAGGGATGCTTCACTCGCACCACAACAGACTCGTACAATCTTCTTTCTCCATGTTGAAAACGTATCACTCACTCAAATTATTTTCTGCACCGTGACACTGTTCCCAGTCCGGGGTTAGGACAATGAACAGGAAATACTAAGGGCCTGTCCTCGTGGAGTTACAGAACTGGACAGGGGCAGCAGCTCTGACAGAGCTCCCCAGGGAAGCAGAAACCAGCCGACAACAGGCTGACTTCAGCACCCTTCACTATCTCTGGTTATGACCCATTTCGTGCCTCAATGACTACCCTGGAACATTCCGTTTCTCCAGAGGAACTCCTCTCGCTAGCCACCAGGTCTGGGTCCTGCGGGAGCCTGTCACTCCAACGCAGGAGGAGAACCCTGCCACGGGGCTGCTGTGTGCTGGGCACCACACAACGCAGGTTTACCTGGGCCCTCTCCCATGCTCTTCAGGCCACCTGGAGAAGGTGTGCACCTCCATCTCATAAGTGAAGACACTGAAGAGCAAGAAGCTTAGCAATCCGTTCAAGTCAGTGACAGCAAGTGTGACCATGTGTAAGCCCCCCTGCCTTCTCTACCAGGCCACCTGTCGTCTACCAACTCCACGAGCACAGAACAGACCCTCACAGGTAAAGAAGGCGAAGGGTCAACACGGACACATACCTGGTGAGCACAGCGCCTTGGAGGTGGATTGGGGATCTCCACTTTGGTCCAGGAGTCCTTCCTGATATTGTAGATGTACAGTTCATTATACATAAATGTCTGCAAAAAGGAAGAGGGACTTCGTGTCATCAATGAAGCCTCCATGCAAGTGACAGTAAGTGGAAAGCAGGATCTCAATCACTAGTTTTCCCCAGGAAATGGGTTTCCTAAAGCCACGTAAATCATACCAATGCAGGAAGCCTGCGGCTGGGCCCCTCGGATCCTTTGGGATAATGACAAAGAAAAAAACTGTCTGCCCACCATGCCTATCAGCACGTAAGGTACCAAGATCCTTTGCTGCTCGGCAAGTCATCTCTCAAAGTCAAGCCTGGTTCTTAAAGGATGAGAATTCAGAGTGGGAGATGAACAAGTTAAGTCAAACTCACAGGGATCCTCAGCATGGAGGGAAGGCAAACTCAGGCTTTTCTAAATGTTTCATACACAATTCTGAAACACAGGTCTGTCTGGCCTGCTCAAAAATGAAAATTAGCTCTACAATTATCTGCACTTTCTTCCACTATTCAAAACAACTCTGAAACCCATCATGAGCATATGAATAATCAACCCAAGTGAGCAGTGTGCTGGTCGATCTCAAGCAGGCAGTAAGAGCAGTGACTCTAAAGCTCACTGAAGGATCCCGGTGGCTTCTCAAGGACAAGGTTGCATGCCAGTCCTACAGGCTCAGGAGGTGGGACCAATGCATATTTGATATCATGGCTTTAAACTAATTTTACTCAAAATGAGACGCATGAAAATTTGAGGAGAAAAGAAAAAAATATATACTTTACTTTTTGGCCATTGAAATATTCACCTCCGAAAAGGATTAATTCGTCTTTCTCGGGATGAGCAGAGAGTGAGGCATGTAACCTACAAGAGACAGAAGCAGCAGTTCAACACACCATACAGCCACGTGGCGCCCAGCTGAGAGCCGGCCTCCTTTCCACCCGAGGGCCGTATCAGCTCCCCAGACTTCTGTGAAAGACAAGCCTGGCCCTGGGAACGGAAGCTAAGGCCCCTAACCCTTAAAATCAACCTCACAGCCACAACACCAGGAGGGCCCCGGACCTGGGTGACTCACACAGCATTTGGGTAAAAGCCATCAGGCAGTGAGAAGTCTAAGTGTTCCTAATCTAAGTGCCACATTTCCCACAGCTAACTTTTTACAGGTCTATCCTCTTAAATCACAATCAAAACTGTTCTATAGGGACGCCTGGGTGGCTCGGTTGGTTAAGCATCTGACTTCAGCTCAGGTCATGATCCCAGGGTCCTTGGGATCGAGCCCTGCACTGGGCTCCCTGTCAGCAGGGAGCCTGCTTTTCCACTCCCTCTGCCTCTCCCCACTGCTCATGCTCTCTCTCGCTCTGCACTCTCTCTCCAGTAAGTAAGTAAAATAAGTAAATAAATAAGTAAACAAATGAGTAAATCTTTCACTGTTTAAAAAGTCCAGTACTTAAACATTGCAATATGTATCCAGATAGCTTCCACCTAAAAAACACAAATAGCTTCCTACTTACATCACACATGAGGACAAAAGACCAGCTAAAAGGAAACTTTAAATACACGTGGACCATCTCAGTAGAAAGTAAGACAGTGATGGGGGTGGGAGGACAGGACTAACAATCACTGGAAAATCCCCTTCTTTCAAAATCCCTCATGTGGACTTCCTCAGGGGGCAGACTATAACAGTAATTTCAGAAGATACTTCGTAAAGGAAGACAAAGGTTTCAAGGTCAGGTAAGTTTGAGAAATCGGAAAACTCGTTTTCTCTTGGAAATTTACTGTACACAAAAACATTTTATAGGTTTAGAAAGTTTGCCGTAAAGAAACCAATGTTATAAAATAGGACTATGCTGGGGCATCTGGGTGGCTCAGTGGGTTGAGCGTCTCTTAATTTCAGCTCAGGTTGTGATCTTAGGGTTGTGAGATCGAGCCCTGTGCTCGGTGTGGAGTCTGCTTGAGATTCTCTCTCTCCCCCTCAAATAAATAAATAAATCACACACACACAAAAAAATTGGACTACATCGTGGAAAATAGTCTCACAGTTAAACACAGAATTAGCACATGACCAGCAATCCCACTCCTAGGTACGTACGTGCCAAAGAAACCTGTAAACAGGGACTCGAAGAGACACCTGCATGCCCACATTCACCATAGCACTACTCACAGGGGCCCAAAGGTGGAAACAACCCAAGGGTCTATCGACAAGATGAAAGCGGTGCATCCATACAATGGAGTATTATTCCGTCTTAAAAAGGAATGGAGTTCAGGTTCATGCTACAACATGGATGAACCTTAAGGACATTATGCTAAGTGAAAGAAGCCAGACACAAAAGGACAGCCGTTGTGAGACTCCACTTATGTGAAATATCTAGAAGAGGCAAATCAAACACCAGGAAGTAGTAGTCACCAGGGGCCAAGAGGAGGGACATGGGGAGTGACAGCTCATGGGTCCAGAGCACCGTGAATGTAAGGAATCCCACTGAACAGCACAATTAAAAATGGTTAAAATGGGAAATTCTATGTTAGATATATTTTACCACAGTTTCTTAAAAATTTCGAAAGGAAACCATCTGTTTCCCAAAGTTAACTCCAAATCTTTTTTTCCACTTAACACCTATTAAAATTTTCTAGGGAAAATTAACAAGCACAGCTAGGGAACAGTAATCCAAGTCAGGCACAGAGCCCCCATAGGGTCCCCTCAGGGTCCCTGCCCCCCACACCCAGCCACACACACCCCCTCCCTCATGCACATGGGTACCCTGAGGCTCTGATGCACCTGGTCTATGGTCCTTGCTTCCCCATTAAATTACATCGCAGCCAATACCTGGAAACACATACACTCACAAAACTTGGTAATTTTCATGGTTTTTCCTATAATACGATGGAGGAGGAGGGCGGGAGAAGTTACTAAGGTTACTGACTGAAAGATCTCATTGTATCTCAGCTCCATCAGAAAGCATTCCCAGCTGACCAGGGAAGCGCCAAGGTTCCTAATTATACCCTAACATTAAATCTGGCTTTTTGGGCACATTACTTTAGGAAAGTTTTTAAACATCACCAAAAGGCGGCGGGGTGGGGGAGAATCAATCCACATTCAGAATGGCTTCCCTCAGGGGTGCTGTGGGTACGAAGCCTTCACGATCTCAAGGACTCACTTGCTTAAACCACTCCAAGGACAATGTGTGTCTACCACATGTGTAACTTCTGTGTGGCCCCCAGGATAACACGCCAAATACAGGGCAAAGTACATCCCGGTTCCTGATGTTGTTTCTTATATGAAGACAGGGACAACTCGCAACTCCGGGAGCTGCTGGATCACGCTTTGTGTCACCCCGTTCTGCACAGGGGCCACCACGTCGTCCCCCCCCATCTCTGGACAGGGGAGACTAAACCCCGTGTCTGAGGCGGTGGGCTTTGGGCATCAAAGGCACGACCGGCAGCCCCCTCCTGACATGCTGGACCTGGGCCTCCACTCGGGCTGGTGGCCCCTCTAGTAAGATTAATCTCATTTATGTGGCGCCTGGGTGGCTCAGTCATTAAGCGTCTGCCTTCGGCTCAGGTCATGATCCCAGGGCCCTGGGATCGAGCCCCACATCGGGCTCCAGCCCCACATCGGGCTCCCTGCTCATCGGGAAGCCTGCTTCTCCCTCTCCCGCTCCCCCTGCTTGTGTTCCCTCTCTCGCTGTGTCTCTGTCAAATAAATAAATAAAATCTTAAAAAAAAAAAAAAGATTAATCTATTTCTGACAGCAACACTAGTAAGATTAATTTTTATTCTGAGGGAAAGGAAGCGAATTATTTCTCAACCAAACCAGTCCCGTGTGCTTGTCAAGTTAATGCATTTCCCCTTCTCTGAAGATATCTTTTCTAGAGTCATTTGGCCTTTCCTGATTCCTAACTCAATGCATTCAGGGTTTTCCCTCTAACCTGTCAGTAGCAAATACAAGAATTAGAGGGCCCTAAATCAACTTTTAACACACCTGGAATTCAGAAGCTGAGAGGACAGCAACTGACACAGAAGAGTAAGAAAGTGGAAAACCAAAGCCTGCTCATTCTGGCTCATTCCAAGTATCTGAAATCCTACCAAAGACTCTGGAGTTCTTCACGTAATTTACAAATTCATTTAAAATGACTTATACATGTTTATGTCTGAAAATCACACTTGTCATTACGAACAGCAACAAGAGACTGTGATCTGAAGTTCTACGCCTGTGACACACACTTCTGAAACATTTTAAGAACTGAAGAGCTCACTGGGGCAATGCTCTCATCCATGAACTGTGATCAGCTGGACAGCTTTTGAATGGCACAATCCCTGCTGAGTAGCTGAGCCAGGGGACCTTGTTTCTGTGTTTGTGACAACAGATCTGAAAAGCCTCACTCCCATTCTTCAGAAGAAAAGTGAAAAAACTGTTTTGTGGTAGCTTATCTGGGATGGGAACCGGTTTTAATGAGGAAAACATTCCATGTGCCCGGTTATTTATGAAAACATGGTGCCAATTTAAAGTGGTTTTCCAATGTACACAAATCCATCAGACGCTCGAATGAAGAGTCCTTGCTGGCTTACCTTGGTGAAGGTGGGGGGCATGGTGTCTCCACGATCTGAGTCTTTGTAGCATCCAGTGTCTGGAAATGGGCTATCAGAGCTTCAAGGTCTTCCTAAAGGCAGACAAGCAGTCACACCTGAGACATGTTCTTAAATCCTCCTATGTGGTCAAAAACCTGCGTCAACCTTCCCACTCTGTCTGACCCGCCCGGGGTCCAGTCACATCCAGGGATGAGCACATGTTCCTCCCATTTCAGGGACACAGACTCTGACACTTGCAAAAATACTCAGAGCTTGACCCTACAGGCAGTTCTCTCGGGAAGTACACAAAGATGCACACACACTGCATATACCACCTCATTCCAAACCGTCACACTCCCCACAAAGGGCCTCCCATTTGGACAAGCCCTCCCTGACTTCTGCCAGCACCTTCCACCACTTCTCATGTGGCCAGGCCTGGCCGCCCCACCACATGCTCTGCGGTCTGCATAGCAGTGTCTGCGACTCCCCTGCTCGCTTACTCATTTTGTTTACATCGCCCTCCCGCCAAAACAATAAAAAGGTGAGCTCCAAGCAAGACTTGTCTGTTTAGAACTGTGCCTGCGGCCTGAGAGCTCAGCAGCTATCAGCTGCAGCCAATCTGGGTAAGAAGGTCTCTATTCTTACAACTGCAGAAACAGATTTAGAAGTTAATGTGCCAATTCACCTGCCCAGCTGGACAGCACTGGAACCTGGTCTTCCTACTCCCAGTCCAGAGTCATATCCCTGCATCTACTAGTGATTACACACACACACACTCCAGTAATGTGTGACCTGTGCATCATGGGGAAAGTTTCCCTCCATCCTTATTCTCTTCTTGAATGCTCGCTCTCCTCCCCTTGCTCATGCTGGGATCTGAGATGTGTCCCCACTTCCTTCTTCCCTGCTTCGCTCTCCCCAACCCCACAGCCCTCATTCCCCAGTTCCACATTCCACAATGTAGGCAGCTGTCCTTCCTGAACCTAAAAACACTTCCAGACTATCCTATTTCATTTCCCACCCCACCTCCTGGCTCCAAGCTGCAAAGGCTGCCTCAGTTCCTCTCATCAGACCACATTCCTCGGCCTGAACAGCCGCCTGCAGCCCTCCACCTCCCGTGTGTACCCATGTGCCCCCAGGAAGCAGCCACTTTCTGGGAGAGTGCTCCTCACTATTACGCATTTCTTTATACTCTTACTACACGTAAACAAATCCCTAAGTAATACGTATTATCGTTTCACATTTTTCAATTTCACGTCACCTGCATCATATTGGGCATTCTCCTGCAACTTGCTTTTTTGCTCGATGCTGTTGAATGAAGTTTGAACCCCGACTCCAGTCGTGTTCACTGTGGCCGAATTACCACTCCCTCCCCTCCTGGCTTCTCCACCCATCCTGCTGATGATGATCATCTGGGTCAATTCCAGGGCTTTGTTTTCACAAACACTACTCTGGCCGATTTTGTGAAATGTCTTCGTGTAGCTGGAGTTTTTCCAAGGTAAGCCTTCAGGTGCATAACTGCTATGTGGCAGCTTCTACTTTTCTCGATATGGACAAACCAGGATCCGAAGGGGCTCTGCCAGTTTTCACCCTCATGGCGGTCCACAAAAGCAATCACTATCCTGCCACTTCTACGTGAGCAGTTGCCTAAAGGCTCTCCTATCGGCCACCGCATCTCTAATGCAAAACCGCTGCCTCAGGTAGGCAAGGCAAGTTCCTGACCCACTGAACTTTATGGAGACCTGGGTGAAGGGACTGACCGTTGGGAGTCACAGTTACCCCAGAGCGCCTGGCCCAGTGTCGTTCACCTGAGAGATCACCTTCCTGGGGGCAAAGGGCTTCAACACGCACAGTGTGGAAGGGGGAGGAACGTGTGTGACACCCAAGTGGAGTTGTCAACCAGGTATCACGTGAGTTCTGTGGTAGGCAGAATTCCCAGCGGTCTCCAAGATCTGCCCTCAGGGCCCCAGCCAGGAAATGATGGGATGCACTCTCATGATGAGGTTACACTATATGACACAGTTGACTTTAAGAAAGGGAGAGTATGCTCTGTGGGCATGACCTCATCAGATGACCAGAGCTCTTCAAGATCTGTTAGGAGGGCTGATGAAGGCAACATGCGAAGTCCCAGGCCCCAGGCCCGACAGACTCTCTCTCCCCACAGGGGAGCCCCTGTCATCCCCTAAGCACCGGGCTCTGCAGAGAGATGGGAACACGAGTGAAAACCGGCTAACAGTTACCGAGTGCTTACTATGTGCCAAGCACTGTTCCAAAGATGCCCCACAAATTATCTTTCTGCGCCACGACCCTACGCAGGCCCGTGCAGTCACACGTGAGAAACTGAGGCACAGCGGTTGCACAGACAGGTCACGCTCCTCTGAGGCCTTCCAGCTAGCTGTGGCAGAGGGGAGATGCAAACCCCGGCCTGTGGCTGCACAGGGAGGGGGTGAAGAGCCTTACAACAGCAGAGCCCAGAGGAAGCAGGAGGAGAAGCCCGACCCCACCACTTGACAGATGAGGACACAGAGACACGAAAGGCTTTGGAGAAAAGGGGAGCAGGGCGGAGTCAGAGCTGGGCATGGGGAGCCTCTGGTCACACTGTGGCTCCGCGCCCCTTCACAGCTGCGTGACTTCTTGTTCCTGACTTCCTCCCCACCAGCTGGGCGTGCCAAAGCTACCGGGCTCACCTGGTCGTCCGGACTAGAGCCCAGGCAGCACAGCACACGCTCGTGAAGCATCATAAGCCGCGCAGCTGGGGAAGCGCGCGAGCAACCGCCAACAGAAGGCGGAACATCCGCGCTCAACTCAGCACGGATCCATCTGCAGACCGGGCTCGGGGGCGCGCGGCGGACACGGAGACTGAGAGACCGCGGGGCCGAGAGAGACGGAAAGGAGAGACGGACGGCGGGACGAGAAGACCGCGGCGTTCCCAAGAGCTGTTCCGCAAACCCCGCGGCTGCCCTCGCGCCCACCGAAGCCCCCGGCTCGGGGCTGCCGTGGGGGCATCGCCCTCTCTAGGGATGACGACCGAGGCTCGGAAGCGGAGGCCCTCGCCCCAGACCACACCGCCGCCGCGCCGCGCCGCGCCCCTCGGCCGGCTCCTCCAGCCCCGCCGGCCGAGGGAAGCCCGACGGGACCCGGGGCCCCGGCGGCTCGCGCGGAGGGCGCGCCCGGCCTGGCTGCCGCCTCGCTCACCTCCTCCTTCCGCGAGCGCTTGGACACCTTCTTCTCCATCTTGGCAGCCGTCTTCTCCGCGCCGCGGCGCTTCTTCTCCCTCTTGCCCTTCTTGCCCATCGCGCCGGTCCGACGGGGCGCCGGGACTCCCGGAGGGGCGGGCAGCGGCGCGCGGCGCGCCGGAAATACGTGCTCGCGGGGGCGGCGCGCGGAAACGCGGCACTTCCGCCCGCCCGCCCCGCCCCCGCACGCGCTTCCGGCCGGCGGGCCGCGCTCACGTGGCCCGGGCGCTGGGTGCGCGGGGCCCGCTGGGGGCCGGCGGGCTGTGGGGCGCGTCGGCGGGAAGCCGTGGGCGGGAAGCCGCCGCCTCTCCGCTCCCCCGGGCCCGGCCGGGGCGAGCCGTGGCTTGGCGCCCGCACGTAGGGACCCCGTCGGGTGACGCGGGGCGCGAGCCACCGCTGCCTCTTCCTCGGACCCTCTTGAAGTCAAACGACTGCCTCGCCTTCGGGCCCAGAAAAACGTCCCTACCCTTGCTCGGATTTGGACTCTCAGGCGAGGACGGTCCCTCCTCCCGCTCGACGACGGCCGCACGCGTCCCGCCGCGGAGGACCCGCTTCTCCCTCGCGGGAGGACGGCTGATGACCCCTCCGGGGGCGCGCAGCTCACGTGCCCCGCAGAGTGAAGCAGCCTGCAGGCACAGCGTGCTCCAGGGTCTGACCGGAGTGCCCTTCGAAGTGGGAACGCCGTGTGCCGGGCGTGCGAGCGGTGGTTTGCACGGAGTAGAAGGAAAACCCTTAACGTGAGGGGCGCCCGGGTGGCTCAGTCGTTGGGCGCCTGCCTTCGGCTCGGGTCGTGATCCTGGGGTCCCGGGATCGAGTCCCGCATCGGGCTCCCTGCTCGGCGGGGAGTCTGCTTCTCCCTCTGACCCTCCCCCTTCTCATGCTCTCTCTCCCTTAAATAAATAAAATCATGGGGCACCTGGGTGGCTCAGTTGGTTGAGCGACTGCCTTCGGCTCAGGTCATGATCCTGGAGTCCCGGGATCGAGTCCCGCGTCGGGCTCCCTGCTCGGCGGGGAGTCTGCTTCTCCCTCTGACCCTCCCCCTTCTCATGCTCTCTCTCCCTTAAATAAATAAAATCATGGGGCACCTGGGTGGCTCAGTTGGTTGAGCGACTGCCTTCGGCTCAGGTCATGATCCTGGAGTCCCGGGATCGAGTCCCGCGTCGGGCTCCCTGCTCGGCAGGGAGTCTGCTTCTCCCTCTGACCCTCCCCGCTCTCATGTGCTCTCTCTTTCTCACTCTCATTCTCTCTCAAATGAATGAATAAAATCTTAAAAAAAAAGAAAAGAAAAGAAAACCCTTAACGTGAGTTAGAAAATGCCATCTTTGCCGGTAATCAGGGAAGTAGAGCAAATTAAGGACAAGGACGAGCCAACATCTGGCAAAGGGAAAGCATCTAGATTCTTTGTGACTGAACGGACACAGGGCTCAGCCGTAAAGAAATTACCTTGGATCTACGAGAATTAATCAAAGGAAACCTCGCTAAAACAGAGTGGGGGGCCAGGAGGTCAGTTCCAGGAAGCACTGTCCACTGCAGAGCCCAGCAGAATCATTTCAGGCCCCATAGGGAAAGATGTAGGTTGCATTTTCTGCAAGAAATAGACCACCCAGCAACTCAGCTGCTAAGTCCTCATTACCCTGGTTGTCTCGCACGGACTTTTGTGCCGAACAACCCCTCCTAGCTCCCTCCTCCTGCTCCATAAAATAGCACCCCTCTCCTTTATTGGACTTGCCTAGGGTTTTGCCGCAGCTTACCTGTCCTGAGTTGCAATTCCTCTGCCATTGCTGAATAAACCCACTTTTGCTAGTAAAATAACTTTTATTTTTATGGTTAACAGATCCAATCAGATGCTAATCCCCAAAGAGCCAGGGTGAATGCTTTTCCAACCAACTCCAACCCTTGTCCATAAACCTAGTTATGTAAAAAGAAAAATGAAGTTTGGGGAAACTATGGGAAGAGGTAGAGGAGGATTCAGGCTGCATCTGTGTCCAGCGCTGCTTGGAGGAGATTAGGAGACCATGTGTGATGATGAAAAAAAAAAAAAAAAACAGATGTTTATCAGAAAGCAGCTACAGAATTTCACCGTCAGCTGGCTCCTGAGCCTTCAGACATAATCATCTCTGACAATGAGCTACAGAAGGCCAAGTCCTTACTATTGCCCCTGCTTTCCTTCTAGTGCAATATGACTTTAAGAACATACCTAATCTTCTTGTACTTTTCTAAGAATATTGGATGACGTTGAGGCAATGCACTGGAAGCCAAATGGCCCTTGAGTCACAGAGCATCTGTAGGAAATACATTACAGTGGGCCCCTCTTAAGGACTGAGAAAGGGAGAGCGTATTCCCTATTAAGATTTAGAAGGGTCTGGTAGATGCAGGGTTTAATGCTTTTATTACCGGAAAGAATCTTCAAGCTGAGTTGGAAGGCTCTTGGGGGATGTGTCATGGTGATTTACGTGAGATTGAAATTCTCATTACCCAGACAGAGAAGCTAGAACATTTAAAATGAGATCAGAATCTCAAAATAGTAAAAAGATTAACTACATGGTCCTATTTTAGTGAAATCATATTTTTGATACTTTAATGGATTATCTTAACAACCAATAGGTCATTAACTGTTAGTGTATCTTTTGTGTGGTCAGGCGCCCTCTGCTGTCTTCAGGTTGGAACCCAGAAAGAGAAAAAATATTAACAATGGAACTAACTCATTACCCTCACCACAAATAATCAGTGTAATTGGAAAATTCTCCCATGGGTGGTATAGATGATGTGGTTCTTTGCATGTTTCCCATCTGGAAAAATGGGACTATTTAGCCAGCCCACCTACTACAAAACATTCTTGGGAGCATCAAACAAAATAACAAAAAAGCTTAGAAGAGTTTAGCAAAATACAAACTTAAGAGATTCCGTGTGCTGTGAAGTCATGAATTTGAGCTGGCTGGCAATCATTTCATGTAGCAAAATGAACTGGACCCTGCAACGCGTGAACATTGTACCAGAACACGAGATACAAAACGCAAGACCTGACCACCTGTTCCAGGAGCTTTGGTTCTAACAAGACAGATAAACACGTGATGACACTCCTCAAATGCTTGAAGCAAGGAATGAAGAGGGAAGGAAGAAGGGAGGAGGGGGGAAGGAGAGGAAGGGAAATCAATCTGTTGTTTCACACATTCATCCAGTGTTCTGGACGTCGGAGGGGAAAAGGAAAATCCAGTCTCGTTGCTCCATCGGGGCTGAAAGCAAAATTCTCTCCTTTTGGGGTTATTTATATAAAGTGTGCTGTTTAATTTCCAAATATTCGGGGACCTTTTCGTCATTTTTTCCAATTTATTTCATTTATTTGAGATCTCTAAGAGTTTACTGCTCTCGGTCTCCTTTTAAATGCATCTTACACATTTTAATATGCTGTGTTTTCATTTTTCATTCAGTTCAAGATACTTCCTAATTTCCCTTTTGAATTCTTCTAATATCCCTGGGTTACTTAGAAATGTGTTATTTAGTTTCCAGATAATGTGGAGATTTTCCAAAGATCTTTCTGAAAAGTTTTGTTTTTCCTCTAACTGCTTGCATGATTTTATCTTTATTCTTATTGCCTGCAGTTTCACTAAGATATATTTAGATATTAATTTCTTTTTATTTATCATGCTTGGGGCTCAGTGGGCTTCGTGGAGCTGGAGACGGCTCTACCATTTTCTCTTCAGAGGATGCTGTTCTTTCTCTCTCTCCTCTTCTCCTGGAGCTCCAGTTAAATACGTGACCTCCCTTCTCAATCTCTGTGCCAGGTCTCTTAACTAATCTTCCCCATTTTCCATTTCTTAGTCTCTCTGTGCTGCATTCTGGATAATTCTTTCTGATTTATCTACTAGTTCATGGGTTCTTTGCTCAGCTCCATCAAATCTGTCTTTCTGACAGCCCAGGCAATGCCCTCTGAGGCTCTCAGAACCAAAGTCAAACATGGCAACATTTGCTCATGCCTGGAAGCAAAAGCCATTTGCAGAACCTCCTTTCTACCCAATTATTTTGCTTTTCCTTTCTGTTGGGTTCTGATTTGGTGACACTTTACTCCTTGTTAGTTCTGAAATGTCTTTAAGAAACTCATTTCAACATTTATCCAGCATTTTTAGTTGCTTTGAATAGGAGGGATTGGTCCACATAACCCACAGCCTTGCTTCCTTTTTTTAGGTGGTATTTTTCAGTATGTAATTAACACATACTAATTTTTAAAATTTGGAAAACACAAGTCTAAGAAGGAAACTTCAAAGTCGCCCATGGGCTTCCCTCCCACATGCAACCACTCTCAGCATTTGTGGGATTTTCCTGCTGACTGATGGTAAGCAAAGGTCTGGGTTGTCTTTCCCTCATCTGCTTAGCTCCTTTCTCTTCCCCTGTCTTCTTTATCACTCTTTCTCTTTCTCTTCCCCTGTCTTCTTTATCACTGATGGTCAGAGCATCACATGACAATCAAGGACAGTCTGTAGGTTCGCATCCATTTTGTGTCGACCGTGTCCCATAAACCTACCCAAACAGCCCAGAGTCAGCTTTCCTGAACGCAGTGGTCAGAGGCGCGAGATGAGAGAAAATACAGTAAGAGAAACAGTGCAAATCTCTCCCTAATGATAAATTTGATTTTTTTTTTTAGATTTTTTATTTATTTATTTGAGAGAGAGAGAGAAGGAGAGAGAGCACATGAGAGGGGTTAGAGTCAGAGGGAGAAGCAGACTCCCTGCCGAGCAGGGAGCCCGATGTGGGACTCGATCCAGGGACTCCAGGATCATGACCTGAGCCGAAGGCAGTCGCTTAACCGACTGAGCCACCCAGGCGCCCAGATAAATTTGATTTTAAGAAGGTAAAATTCCTTTGCCAAATAGTTGGAGATGTTCGTCATTCTTCAAGTAACTTGATTTTTAAAAATTCCCATAATATCACTATGTTGAGCATCTGGCTCTTGAATCCCCGGAACCAGCTCTGTTTCCAAGCTCAGTCGCCTCGTAGTTAACAACTTACACTGAGGACTGTTTGTGGTATCCCCTTAAATTCCAGCTGCCTGGCTATGAATCTAGATCACACCCACTAAAACCTCCCCGCTCTCAAGAAGGGCTTTTGCTGTCACTGTTCATCCACA